GTAAGAGAGGTTTTTCTAAAGTGAATGTTATAAAAACTGAACTCAGAACTAGACTAAATCATAACAATTTTCAGAACCAATTATTTGTTATGTCTGAAGGACCAGATTTAGCTGATTATAATCCTTACCCAGCAATTGTTGAATGGTTGTTATCTTCGTCAACTTCAAGGCATATATCAGGACACAAGTTACCTCAACCTAAAACTGATGAACATGCTCCATTACCTGAGATTGTATCAGAAAAGTAACTTACTCATGTACAAGTATTAAAAAGGGAATATGCTGTTAGAAAATAAAAAATAATGTTAAAACATCAATTCAGAACCAGTGAAATTATTACACGGACTAGTGACAATTTTCTTATCACTAGTCCTGGATCAGTGGAAAAATCCCATATTCTTCAACCCCTGCTTACTGAACCAGATTATACTGCATCAAGCATTGAAATCAATAATCTTAAAATGCTACCCGGTATATCTGTATTTCTTACAAAATGTTTGTCTTCATTTCACCAACATTGACATCACATACCTGTTTTAATCAAACTTCAAAGTGCATGGCAGAAATAGAATCCTGTCACTGACCACAAAAGTCTTTTGTTGCTGTTTCAGTTTGTTTTCTTTCATCGAATTAGTACTACAAGCATGCATTCGTGCAAAGACCCTCTAACAGAGGTCTTTGATTCGTGCATGTATTCCATCTGTATCTTAGACATACTTAGGGCAAAAGGCCCACCATTTTTGTGCTAAAAATTCATCATAATTAAGCATTTCTGTCAGTCCAGAACTGGATCTCAATCATATATGGATGGAGTTAAAACTTAGTCCATTCACTGGGATTTGAGTCTTGATGCATGTTGTTATTTTTTTCAGATTTATTTACATTTCGATTTAATTAATGCTGTTCCAAAGCCATATCTTTGACATGCCTTGACCAAACATGTTCAAACTTTACATCATGTTGCACACACATGCACATGTAATTGTTTGATGAGCCAAATGGCTGCTATTTCAATTATAAATTCATCCAAGTCGAGCCTTTCGGACATTCATGAACTGGATCTCAGTTGCGAATGAACGAATTTTGTTCAAACTTTGGAACATCAGACATTAGTATTTTGTTTGCGACACCATTTGGCGTCACTTGTTTGTGTTACGCAAGTCTATGGGAGAAACCATAGCTATTCTGTGTCCTAATGCCTGAAAATAACAAATTTAATGATACAAAGACCGGCACAAGAAGAGTTATGGACCCACAGCTAGGAGACTACTTGTATGTAATGCAATTGCTTGATAATTGTTGTCATGTATATCGATCATGACATATTTTTGCAAGTTTGAGTGATAAACCACACAGAATGATGAAATTGGAGGTGAATCTTATTCTGTTAGTGAATCATAATGCTACAATGGACACCTTATCTGATGTTAAAAATTAAATGCTGTTATGGTTTATCTGTGTTTTTGTGTAGTTTATTAGACCAAAAGAAAAAAATACCCCAACCTACCTCATTTTACTGCCAGACCTTAAACCTTTTTTAGGCATATTTGCGAAAATATGACAAAATTGTGCCAGAATTTGAATGAGATACAAAACTGGGAAATTTGAACAACTTAAAACATGATTTATAACATTCATATCTGCAAAAACAGACTTTATTTGCAAAAACAATAAACATAAACAAATTTGTACTTGCCTACTATTAAAACTTACAATTTTAAACTTGGCTGCTAATGGCAAGTGAGCTGTTATCCCCTATACATGTATGTATGTACATTTTTTTGTACAGCTTTATTAATAACATTGACTTTGACTGTCTTTAGATTCATCGCTTCAAAGAATATGGTGAATTTGACAGTGTGATGTCTGTAGCCTTAGCTTCATTGTTGCGTAGAGCTCATAGAAGACTATTTACCAAGCTTATCTCTTCAAGGAATTCCAGGTAATTTGAATTTGTTGTAATAACCTGAAATTTATAGTCATTTTAGTGTTCTATTTTTCAATTGGACTAATTTTGTTTAATAATATAACTGTTACCTGGGGTACTGTTTGGACTAATGTCAAAACTTGCTGCTCACTGAAATAAAATAAAGCTGATTAGGATGGTTATTAATATAATACCTGATACTCTTCGAATTTTTATTTTTTTTTCATTTCAATGTAGAAACTGGATACTGTAAAACGACTAATTTTCACTGGGTTTAAATAACATTGATTTACCATTTCAGGCATATTCAGTGGGTTTTAAATTCACTGTTTCGTCATTTAGATAATGTGTTCTATGCTAAATTTTACATATTCACTGGGTTTTAATTTAGCGCATTTTCCAGTCAGCGAAATAAGCTAAATTAAAACCCAGTGAACATACGAGACGCCATGTTGGTAGGACGTGTCGTAGCTCGGCTCTTCATTTCAAGTAACCGATCTTGTACTCGACTTAGTCTACGATGAATGATATTCGCTGCTGTGATTGTGGAACATTTAATGGAGTGTCTCTTTGTCAAGGTGATCTTGATTTATGTGGACCGTGTAGAAATAAGCGATTCAAAACTACGTTGACCATGAGTAGCTCCGAAGACAATGGCCAAA